TTCGCCGAAGGAAGAGAATGCAGCTGAGTTTAGAGAACGAAACCCATCGGGATTTATTTAGATCATTATTTAACTCTTGGGAAGATGCCATTCTTGACGTTATCGACGAGGAACACTACCAGCTTAACCGTTTTATTTACTGCCTACTCTTTTCGATGTCAGCGTATATTGCAAAATATAACTTTAATGATGTCGAGATATTTGCAAAACTCCAGACCGCAGGTGTGGTGGTGAACGCGTTACTCCCCGGAAAAGACAATAACGCGTTCGTTCTCCACTGCAGACTACCAGCTTATTCAAAATCTTTGCGTTAATGCTGTGAAAGTCGAGAGCTCGAATACCATCTAGTGACATCTTTCTCAACAAACACTCGAGCTGATGTCAACGACAAGTTGCAAGCAACCGCACATTAACGTCCGAACTTGGAAAGCAATGCAAAAAAGCGATAGAAGATCTTAAAGGGGAAAGAGCAGCAGCTACGGTCGAAAGTACAGAGGATGGAAAAGTTCACAAAACATGGAAATTTCGCAAGTTACAAAACTAAGATGGTTGTACTCGAATGCCCATACGGAACAGCTACAGATTCCAGAAGGACAATGGAGAAAATCATTCACGACTACTAGCCTTGATCTCTTCACTAGCCACATATTCCTGCCCTGATATGAAATTAAGGAGGATGAATATGCCGTTCCACCAGTGTTCTCTTCCTAAATCCAACACGCCATTTTCGACGAGGAATATAGGAAGAGCTGATCTGGATGAGATAGGACCCTAAGAGCTGAAGAACCTTTCGCCAGTTCTTATCAAGGCAATTGATCTTCTCTTCACGCGGTACTTTTCAAAATACAAGGATTGTATCAATGGAAGATGGTAACAGTACAGTTCTACAAAAACGCTGGCTTGACATTATCAGGATTTATCCGCAATTTGCTTGCTATGCTCTCTTTATAAATTCTTTACTGAAGTAGTCCGCCCAACGGTTTACCGCCTCATCGTGGCTGAGAGGTATTCCTGGGTGTCAGACTACGATGTACAACACGGGGATTCGTCCCTCCGGCAGAATCTTCCAAGCTGAGAAGGAGTCTAGCGTTTCCATCAGGAAGCCTAGCGAAGAGTAAACCAATACCAGGATCCACCACCGCCATGGTATCAAGGTCGCAAGGTGACAAATCTCCCCCTGATCCACAAGGGCTGCGGCTGCCTATCGTGGTGACGACCTGCGGCAGACTTTGGTTACGCTGTCGTCGGGATTCCAGGGAACCACAATGGCTTAACCCGCAAGTCTCCGAAAAATGGTGATTATGCTGGGGACCGTACAACTAGTGATGACGGGCCGTTCAAGTATCCAGTAAGCAAGTAAGTAGTCTGAGGAAAGACTTAGTAAGACCGACTCCATCCACACGACCACGAGAGTAATCGGAGTGTCACATCAGTATAGGATATGATCGCTCTGTTTCTCTTTCATCCATTTAAAAAGTCTCTCAACTCACTGTTTTTGTTCGCTTTTTTTCTTTTTGATGTTTTTTGTTTACTTTTCCTCTTCTCTTTTCGTCACTGCTTTCAACTCAGTTTAGATGGGGTCGTGGGAGCTATGTATAGCCAGGGCGTTACTACTCAGCAAATAATGATCTTTCATTTGCTACATATAAATTTGAGTATCAGGATATCAAAACCATCATTTAAGATCGGTAGTAAAATAATCAATGTTTTCACATTGTTGAGCTTACACGAGGTTGATAAATATGTTTGTAACGGTTAATGTTTCAGCGTCTTCGTCTTCATCAGAGCTAATGATCCGAGTCGATGGTCCACAGTTGTTCATGTTCTGGAATATGGTTTTGGTACACGATTTGTGCTAGCTAGCATAATACCGACTGGTGCAGGGTGGATTAACCGTTGAAAAACAAATTATTTATCAGCGGATAGTCATTTCAACAACAACAGTCTTGTATAAAAAAGCGCTACCTGCTGAGCATGCCTCATTCGCTCTGTGTTCCACTTGAAGAAGACCCGTCTCGATACGACTGCGAAGAGGCCAAATCGAAAGCGCGAACAACTGTGGACCATCGACTGGGGTCCTATGATCCGATGAAGACGAAAACGTCGAAACGTTGTTCTAAATAAAAGTATCTACCAACCTCGTGCAAGCTTAACAATTTATAAACACGTTGATTAAGAAATGAGCTCAACAAAGCGATGCCATATCGCTAAAATTATTTACAGCCACCCACGAGAACGTCATCGAAACTTGGAGCGGGACAATAAATGACTGGAAGCAAATAATCGGCAAGCATCTTCAGTTCATGATTATATCGCTTTTATAACGCCAACAGCTGAGCATGTTGGCCGGCTTACCGAGGTTAAATGATAGTTGGTTCGAAAAGGTTTGAATTAGTAGTATTACAAAGGTGTGCTTCAGAAATGTTTGTACGTTCAAACAGCGCTGTTCTTTGACTGGTCTATCAAAGAATTTTTTAAGCAGGATATTTTCAACACAAAGACCAAATCGGCTATGCAGAAAAACTCCTACGAAAATGAAGGAGGACAAGAAGTTATGCAGAAATGAAAATGTCGTGAAGACGTCAAAAGTCAAAACATGTTGTGGGAGGTGCGTCGTGCTAATATATTTCAATTTTCGTCAATATTTCGTAATCCTAAGTCATAATAAGTCATTTTGAAAGATGCATGCAACACCAGGTTCGAAATTCAGTTAGTGATTCCCGTTGATCTTCGAGGACGGTGGATGAGAGGAATCATGACAAATGCAAGAAATGCTGGGATCACCACAGTCTTATACATGTGGTCGGGTAAAAGACGTCTTTCTAAAGATTAACATTTACTGAAGCATGTTTTTGGACGCGGACATGGGAGCGCCAAGCCGCTTATGAGGATTTCCATAGTGGTTTTCAACCTTATCGCGGAGAAAATGTATGAGCATGGATAGAAAATCTCATTAGAGGAAAATGCCTTGTGTCTTACATCAGTGTTGAACTAAAGCAAAGACTTTTGTACAAGCTTTTTACTGCCAGCAGTTCCTATCGTTGGTGCTCTCTTGAACGGCAGAAGTCGCTCGTCTCTAAATGAACCCGTCCACAAAGGAGTTTTTTGTAAATTACTAAGTGCATAGAGCATATAGCAACTAATGCCGCTATAGCTACTATTCTTTCATGTCATCGTAGACATTGTCATTCTATTTCTCTGGTAACCACATTCATTGTCACTCATTTCGCTCTGCAGTCTCGCAGCATAAAAATGTTTTTGTGAGAAACTTTGGTTGTCACAAACATCCTTTGTTATTCAAACTCTTTTTGTGCAATCGGAACTTTTTGTGTGTTGTTTCTGTTCCAAACCATCACGAGTGCGATAACACAAGGGGATGAAGTTGTTTGGGAAACCGTCCTCAATCGTCTGATCTGATCACTAGGGAGCTTGATGCGGAAGTCGACGAATGTTTTCAGTAAAACTTCCAGACCTGTGGGAAAACACCGCCTTCTCCTGAAGACATTTAAATAGCCCAGTGATTGTCGTATTCGTCTCGTTAGGCATTCTCTTGTTCATCATGTGTGTTACGCTATATGGCGGACCTACGTGGCAACTTTCTACGAAGTTGAAAGCTAGTAAACATTCGCTGCCGAGAACTACCTCGAAGAGCTAGTTTCCACTGACAACCACGACAGAACGGCTCTTTAAGAACACAACGTCTATGCTAGACAAACAGCCTAGGGAACTTAAAGGAACAACGAAAAATCTCTTTCACACGAAGTAAAGCTCTGAGAAGCAAATGTGTTGAATCCAATATACTTTACCCTGTTTACCCTCACAGCGCAGTGGTTGCTGATGCAGTCCTTCAGGAAGCAACGAAGCAGGCTAGTGGCTCGTCCCATCCCCACCGCTCTCCTCCAGTCAATGTGGGAATGCCTTAGCTCGGCTGTCTCCAAACATACAAAGAGCATCGACTTGACCGACGTTTCACGGTATTCATAGAAAAGGACGAAATCCTTCAGCCGCAGCCGAAACAACACCCGAAATGTTCGAAGACCTTTGTGGAAGATAAACGAAAGGAAAGCGAATCGAATACAAGGCATGCTAAGACCTACACATGTGTGACATGATATGTAGTAATGTAAAAAAAAAACGGTAACGTTAGCTAATAGATGTGTAAGTGCTCAAGTATTGATTAAGGATTGTGGCTCGTCGTATGCTCTACCAATCTACCAACCTCTTTGCGGTCCAAACATTGCTTCCGTGATATTGAGACAGTCGACATGTGAAGACCGTCGTCTTAGAAAAGCTACATATTAAAGGACGAATAGTTCAGAAAGAGCGGTCCACACTCGTTGTTCCACTTCAAGTTCTACTCTTTGGAAGGCAAAAGATTAATCGGTCCAGTCACCAGTGTAGCACGGTTGAACCAACCACGGAAGTACCAATTAATTTCTTTAGTTTGGCTGCTTTTTCATAGCAACGCACACTTAAACCTTTTGCTCTTGAAAACGTTTTTAGAGGATTCAACGAGTGAGGCATTTCTTAGAAAATGTATTTGGAGAGGGCACTTCTCAGAGGCGGTATGAAGTGGTTGTCAGTTGATCCTGCAGCATTTTTTCTTTTGTGCAGAACTGGCAAGTTAATATTGTGCCCAACAGTATTTGGAAGTTTCTTGAATGTCAATGAACAATAGTATTTTCTTTGCCTTGTGCACATTAACCTTTTCAGTAAAGGCAGCTGCCTACATATAATAATGCAGTAGAAATGACGTAAAGAAGTGTTACAGGAAGAGGTTCGATGTTCATTTTTCATCGAATATAATTCCTGGTTATAAAATCGGCGGCTCCAATAGATGAGAGGCTCGAGTTGAAGTGAAGGGAGCGTTGGTTCAAGAGTAAATCTTGTGAGGTTTCAATCTCCAAACGAACAGGAAAATCCGATGCACTAGGGATGAGTGGCTCAGAGTAGTTTTTGGAACAGAAATGGTGAACATCTTTCGGTGCATAATTCAGTGTATGCGTAACCACTACTCAATAAGAGTGCATGAAGAGAAATTATTGCTGCAATTCTCATCACAAAAGGGACAAAATGTTACCACGTGAGTAAACCCGAAGCGAATCACCATACGGAGGAAGTGGTTGCTATGAAAGCACTGTTTACATGGTAAATGAACAAATTCGTTATGATATGCAAATTTATATGAGCACGTGGAAACGCGAAATTGACATCAACTTCGTCAAATCGCCGTCACTACAAATAGTCTTCGTTACCCTTTGTTTTTTTTGTTACGATGATGCACTTACGAATTACAAGGAATTCGTAGGAGGTGCTATTCGTCAGAATAGAAGTTGAAAATTCTTGAAATTCTTTACCGGAGACTATCTGCACATTTGAAGAGCATATTGGCATGAGATTGCAACTAGAAGGGCACAGAGAATGATCGGCATAATAAGCGTTCCTGGATTCTAGTAGGATTCACACCTGTATAAATTCAACATTTTTGTCGGATGTCTCACAAAGCTGTTGTGAAATTACTTAGTGGTACAGTGGCAATGAAAAACGTTGTCAGAGCTGGCAACCTGCACTAATTCTTTCTCATGGCAGCTTCGTTCTGATCAGAAAAACTTTCAAAAAATTTCAAAGAAAGTGCATCTCCTGCCAACGAAGTGTTTTGCAGCTAACAGTTTCGATTTGCATAACTCTTCATTACATCTGCTGCGAGGATTCCACTACTTCTTGCATTCGATAGGTGTTCTCATCGCGCTCATCTTCCACATGTGTTTTTGAAAATACCAAATGTTGTTTTGGGGATTTCGCCTCTTTTTATGAGTGCCGTAGAATGCTAGCCGAGTTGATTCTCCTCGCAATCTTGGAGATAGTCGGACCACGGCATCCTCGAGTGGATTAAGAAAGAGCATTTGTGCAGGGATCGAACCAACACAATTTGACTTCTGATCGGCGACATTACTAACCACTGCTACCTCTCGCACCTTCGGATTACAAACAAGGAAAGAAAAAAAAAGTTGTGGTTAAAGCAATATGTTCGCTACTTTGGTGGTGCTTTGGTATCTGTCGGCAATTTCATGACAGCCAGTGTGATTGAGAGAGTTGGGAACTTCGCAGGTTTGTAAAGGATACTGTACTGTGTCTTACTGAGAGTGGACACAATTTTTATGGAATTCTGCTTGTATTTTAGACTTTTTGAAATAACATTACCAAAAAATTGAAACTTTAGCTCAAATTTCCAAAGTATTCTACGCATGTAGCTACAAGTACAAGCGATCTATCGGCAGCGTGATGCTGTCCTGCTGCAGCAAATCGCGGTTCATCAATTGCTATCGTGTATGAAGTACAAGGCTCAACACAGAAAGTAATAAAATTCGCCTAAAAACTAGAAAACCGGCCTTTTATCGAGTAAAGGACCTTTAACCAATTAACAGAATCACTACGTTTTTTAAAATTCTGTTCCAACTAATAATTTCTTCTGATGAGAGAACACGAGCTGGTAAAGGTTGTAAGTGCATCATTAATTTAACGACAACAGACCTTCGTTGCGTATTTCACCATCATGAGAGCCATTTGGTATAAAATTCTGTGGAAAATTCATAACTTCCTACTAATTAGGGTCGAAATTCTAGACCAAATCGTGCGAAAAGTCTTCAAAATGGGGGTAAAAGTATTGGAGGATGCCACCTGTATCGGATTTTTCGAGGACAAAAATGGTTCGTTCTACGTCGGACAATAAACGGCTTAATCGGAGTATTGGATATTGCAGCTCGGGACAAAGTTGCCGTAATCAAAGAAGATGGGTGTTCGTCAGGCAATGGACGAAACGGCGGTGATCAGCTTCTCTCTGTTGGTGAAGGATTCGAGACAGTGCGATTTATTTAAATTTACAGAAAATATTAACCTCGTGCAAGCTTATCAAGAAAGAATACATATTGATTAGTCACACCGAGGTTTAGGGAAGGTCGGTTTCGAAATAAATTTACAGATTTTAAAAAGGCCGTTTTTGTTATTTACATCACTCATCTTATCAGCTACAAGATGCATTTCAGCACATCTTACACTCCTTTCTTCTTTTCGCATACGTCATCGACGAAGATTTTTGAACTTTTTACTTGTGACATAGACTGCTGCTTAGGGATCGGTGGTTCTTTTATGAATTTCGTTAAATTCTCGTCGAGTCGGAGCCAACGGATAGTCGAGCACGAGCATTACCACAGTGATTGCAGAGAGTGAACCGTTCCCAGATAAATTTTGTGGCAAGTTACCGACCCCGGAGAGACGAAAGGTATGATGAGCTGTTGGCGGGGTCGAGCCAGAAGAATACTAGCGGTTAAAGGCACCACTAGCACCGAGCAACACAACCTGTACCTCAGCAATAAATTCCTTTCTATAAACGACTTTGATTAAACCTCGATAGCAATAATCAGTAGCTTTCTACATAACTGAGCTAACAAGAGGTTGATATAAAAGTTTTATAAGGCCAACGTGTAGGCGAATGCACCTTCCTCGAAGCAGCAAATTGCAGATCATAATGAAGGGTGAGAATTGACCGACATTCGCCTTGTATGTAGGGACATCGCTGAGTGAAGTTCTCTATTCAAGCAGTGCTCCCACTCCACTGAATTCCAGTCGATGCCACAAGGAACGCTCACATCACGCCAATCACCAGCTGTGTGCCATCGTCACTTGTCAATGCGGTCCTGAGAAAGACAAAGATGACGAGAATTTAGCAGGGTTAAACTTTATACTGATTATAAATATGTCGTTCTCCTACTCAGCAATCTCGAGATTTTTATAGAGCGCATGCTTACTCTCCTACAAAAAATCTGCAGCACAACGGTAGCTAATATTTTGGTAGTATTGCCTTCTTAAGAGCCTAACGGCGTATATTTTCATCGGACGGAATTAAATGTGTGCTCTATAGCAACCTCGTGATTGCTGACAAAAAAACCCGACACATTTATACTCTAGCGCCGAGATTAAAAGAAAATCGATCCTGGCTACTTTCATGTCGAACTCGTGTTAGCCAATGTGAAAAGTTAGAATTCTTTTGTTCACGTTTTCCGGTCAATAGCAATTCCTCTTCCCCGCGAAACGCTTTAGGAGGGAATAGCTGAGCATGACATTTTCCATGCCCTTAGACTTCTCCACACAATATCTCGGTATGATCGCGACGATTTCATTGATATCGTCATGCAAAATGTTAATGTGATTGGGTGGTTGTGAAAACATAAGCTGAGAGAAGGCGAAACGAAGAACAAGTATGGAGCGGTGTTGAACACGCTATCCTCCGGTAAGGGTAATAACGAGGTTCGGTTCCCGCCGCAGGCACCTGCGGTCCAGAGTTTTGCAAATATCTCAGCATCGTTGTAGTTGTATTTGTGATTTAGTCATTGACGAACACTAATGCCAATCGTTTAGCTAAGCAAGATGAATGAGTTCGAAACAGCGTGAAGATGCTACACCAAAGATTATGGGCTTACCTACGACTGCGGCAGTGTCATGCACTATAATGAACCAAGATTTGCGTCACGATGTTTGGTATGCTTAAAGTATTAACCTAACTTATAGTTGGTCTATTAACATCCAACCAGACTACAATGATTGGAAAAAGTCCTCACCATCAAAAAACCATGAAATCTAGAATAATTTCGCTCTCCGATATCTTTGTTATCAATGGACATCACGGATGCAATAGTATGGATGTCGTTAACTATGCAATCGAGCTCGATATTTCCTAAAGAAGGCTATTTTTCCGGCAAAATGCATCAAGACCACAGCCGTCAAATGTGCAAATGAAGGGTTTTCCTCATCCTCGAAATCGCTTCGTATGTAATTTTCCTGGCTGCTACGGTGGCGCTTTGTGCAACCAGTGGGTGAGAACAACTGCAGCAGAAAAACATAAATCTGATAGGGACATTGTAACCGCTCCAACCACTAGGATGTGGGGAAGACCTCGCGGCAAAAAGAGAAAAACAAACATTGTTCTACAGACTGGGCTTTGGGAGTGATCTTAGAAATCAATTCAATTTTTACAATTGCATTATTACGGTTTTTTCTCTCCGTCAATATTCTCTGTTGGCCTGAAATATAATTTCTTAGGCGCCTCAAGGAGAGAAAATTCAGATTATTTTCTAGTCGATTTCTAGTGGATACGGTGAAGGTGGATATCCATGAGGGGAGTGGAAATCAAAGCTAAGAAGAATCAGAAGCTGACGGGCTACCGGTAGAAGTTAGTAGTCGAAAATGTGCAATTTCTCATACTGTCAGCTTTCTTTTCAGCTTTTGCTAAAAGAACGACACTAGGAAACCAATGTTCTCCAGTTCCAATCCTTTGTCAATAGTTGTATTTAACAGACTCGGCATCATGGAAGAAAACCTCACCTTTCGTTACATTGACTAGCCACAAAGGTCTCTTCAATCTTTGCAACAATTTTGATGCTGCATATTTTGGCACTTAGGAGTTTGCAGAAACAGTAACAGCAGTAAAAGTCAGTTTCCATGTGCCAGTGAGCCACAATAAATTATTTGTGAGCATTTGATCAATCTAACAACAAATGGCAATCTCGCACACTCCCACACTATGGCTTTTGTTCTCGAGACTTTTTCGACATGGTTTTCTTCTTCAGATACTTTCCTGTTGTGCATCACAGCGATAAGAAGCTCTGTCCTGCATATTTGCTCTCAGACTTAAAAATGTCTGAGTGTTGGGAATGTCAGCGCTCATTACCCTGTGTGCACTAACAGTACCTTTCAGACGAATCAAAAAGCACGATTGTTTTATAACAACATTCATTCTCGGCGTAGAAATCATTCGGCCATAAGGTGATTTCTGCCGGGCGGATTGATTCCGCACGTTCATGGATACCGGTTACATCAATTTTTATTATTACTATGTTTTCTATTGTTGCATTCGTAACGAAGACTAGTAGTCACGACTCTGCTTTAGCACTTCTGTGCAGTTCTGTGAGAGTTCCTTTCTTAATGAGTGATGAGCTAGCTACTCGCAACGTGGTAGAAACAGAAACCCTAGAATAGAGAAGAGCCACAATAAATCATTAGCGACGGTAAAATAGAACCGCGAACAAAGTAGATTCAGAGAGATCGTTGTTCTTACGAATAGTAGAGGCATCAACGTAACCTGTTGCTTCAAACACAAAAGTAGAACAGCAGACCGGCTAAGGGCAAAGACTGCTTCAAAATTACAAAATTAATGTAAAACCATAATGCAGTAATCGAAGCGACAGGCAGAATTGGTCGAGTTGATCTGAGCGTTCCTTGCTGTCTCCACGAAGTCTGCATGGGCTTCTCGAGATTGTTTCTGTTATCCTTCGCAATAACATCGTTTCCTTCTTAATTCGGACTAGCAGAGAACCTCATTCATCGTTCTAAAACTCGGCTTTGAGCAAAGGCGAACCTTTGAGACGTGTTCGATTTTCACTTGGTTCTAAGGAAGAGTGGTAAATGTATTCTTTCTTGATAAGCTTACACGAGGTTGATAAATATATTTATTTTCGGCTAACGTTTCGACGTCTTCGTCTTCCTCAGAGCCGGTGATCCGAGTCGATGGTCCATGCTTGTTGTTCGCCTCGACGTTGCGACTTCGCCTTCGTGTCGAGCCAGATCTTCCTCAGTGAGCCATCTTCTCGAATGAGGCATCCTCACTCAGTGGTGCCCTTTTATACACGATGCTGATGGTGGATATATAATGACAATGTCCGGTGGTAACAACTTGTATTTCCTCCGGACATACATCATTGCGCTCATCGTGCAGAGGTCGGTGTATTATCAGCTAGCACAAAGCGTAGTAATACTTCCAAACCGACCTTCCCTAAACCTCGGTGTGATTAATCAATATGTATTCTTTCTTGATAAGCTTACACGAGGTTGATAAATATATTTATTTTCGGCTAACGTTTCGACGTCTTCGTCTTCCTCAGAGCCGGTGATCCGAGTCGATGGTCCATGCTTGTTGTTCGCCTCGACGTTGCGACTTCGCCTTCGTGTCGAGCCAGATCTTCCTCAGTGAGCCATCTTCTCGAATGAGGCATCCTCACTCAGTGGTGCCCTTTTATACACGATGCTGATGGTGGATATATAATGACAATGTCCGGTGGTAACAACTTGTATTTCCTCCGGACATACATCATTGCGCTCATCGTGCAGAGGTCGGTGTATTATCAGCTAGCACAAAGCGTAGTAATACTTCCAAACCGACCTTCCCTAAACCTCGGTGTGATTAATCAATATGTATTCTTTCTTGATAAGCTTACACGAGGTTGATAAATATATTTATTTTCGGCTAACGTTTCGACGTCTTCGTCTTCCTCAGAGCCGGTGATCCGAGTCGATGGTCCATGCTTGTTGTTCGCCTCGACGTTGCGACTTCGCCTTCGTGTCGAGCCAGATCTTCCTCAGTGAGCCATCTTCTCGAATGAGGCATCCTCACTCAGTGGTGCCCTTTTATACACGATGCTGATGGTGGATATATAATGACAATGTCCGGTGGTAACAACTTGTATTTCCTCCGGACATACATCATTGCGCTCATCGTGCAGAGGTCGGTGTATTATCAGCTAGCACAAAGCGTAGTACCACTGAGTGGTAAATGTGTTGTCCTGCAAGAAACAGTGCTTGAAATTGAATGAAATCGTCCAATAGACAATTTTGATTTCTACTGAATGCGAGAAACTTCTTTAGTGTCCAGCCATCATCATCGATTCAGAATCTTGCATCCACAGCAAATCTACGAGTAGTGAAACTGCAACTGTAGGAAGCGCAGAAGTTCTTGTTGTATTCAACAAAGAAGAGTAAAATGAGAGATAACTTTTCGAAAAAACATTCTACTACAAATATGCCGATTTAATAAAGAAGAAAATACT